TGGTTACAGGAAAGAAAATTGCACCATCTATGACTTTCCTTATTCTGACATTGTTCACATATTATTGCAGTCAGTCATGAGGCTTTCTCCTGAGAAATAGCTAAAGGTAAGAAATATTTATGAAAACATTTTTTAGGTAGCTGTGTGAATGGGAACACAGAACAAACATGTAGTGAAATTGTCTTGATTTTGACTGTAAAAATCTCACATTAACTACTTAGATGTGACTAGTCTTCTCAGCTCTTCCAACGGCCTTTTATATTGACAGCACATTGCTCTCTCACATCCAGCACTATTTAGTAGGGTCCAAGAGAAATCCAGATTGCACCTGCATTGGGGCTCATGCACACATCCAGATCAGCATGTTTCTACAGTAGGTACTGTCAGGTGTTTGTGATTAGCCATGGACAGGAAGCCTGTACAAGTCAATCACAGAATGACACTGTCCGGGGCTATTTGCATGTAATCGCACAAGAAGCAATTACCAGGGGTTAGGGACAGATGTGTTCCACTGGATGCGATTACATGTGAACAGTTGCAGACAGCCATGGAAAATGTCTGCCTGTCATTGATTTGTACAGGCTTTCTGTCCATGGCTGACATGTGGCCGTACCCACAGCAGAAATATACTTATCTGGGCTGTGTACAGCTCTAATCGACCATGTGCATGAACCAATGCATCAATCATTTCAAAAGACGGAAATCACATTTCTTTTAAGATATTTTACATATCAGCTTACCATGCAAATGCTTGTTTATTACTCTGACAAGAAAAAAATAGGGGCTTTAAATAGACTTTAAGCTGTCATGGTTTCTAAAAACACATAAACCATAACTTTTTGAAGCAATAGAAGTAATTGGAAATAACAAAGAACATTTAGAGAGATACTAAGATTACAGTGGAAGAGCTGGGGAAAAATCAAGAGTATAGTTTTTCAAATGATACTATAATAGTAGAGCTGGCCTATCACCAACACGCACACTACCCTAATGTAACACATAGATCTGCCCTCCTGAGTCAACTGTGCTTAAGAAAAAAATGTCTTGGTTCACAAATATTTTGCTTTTATACGGTTGTATTTTATGGAAAAAGGTAACAATATTTTTGTTGAATTTTCACACTTTATTTCTTTTTTTTCTACTTGAAACATACACCTAGAAAGATCTCCAGATATAATTTTTGAAAGGAAAACGTTTTTTTTTTTTTGCTAAGGGTATTAGTAAATGACATTTTTTGACAAGGAGTGCAGAGTTGTCAGTTGGCAGTATCAGACTAATCAACATCTTCATATAGCAGGTGAACTGCTGTTATAATGCATGGCCATAAAAATGTAAGATATTTATTTTAACACTTGCCTACCGGGCACTTTTACCCCCTTTGTACCGAGGCCAATTTTTACCTTTCAGTGCTGTTGCATTTTGAATGAAAATTGCGCGGTCATGCAACATTGTACCTTTATTAAATTTTTTTTATCATTTTTTTCACACAAATAGAGCTGATTTTGGTGGTATTTAATTGCCACTGGGGGTTTATTTTTTGCATTATAAACAAAAAAGAGCAAACAATTTTTTAAAAAAGTTTCTTTGTTTCTGTTATAAAATGTTGCAAACAGGTAATTTTTCTCCTTCCTGATGTTTGTTGATGAGGCTGCACTGATAGGCAGCACTGGTGGGTACTGATAGGCAGCACTGATGAGGTGGCACTGGTGGGCATTGATGAGGAGGCACTGATGATGCTGCACTGATATGCAGTAATGATGGGCACTGACAGGCGGCTCTGATGGGTATTGATGGGTGGCACTGATGGGTACTGATAGGAGGCATTTGTGGGCACTGACTGACAGCACTGACTGTCAGCACTGACTGATGGCACTGACTGGCGGCACTGCTGGGCAGCACTGATGGGTGGGACTTCTGGGCACTGATGAATGGCACTGCCAGGCACTGATGGACACTGGTGGGTGGCACTGCTGGATACTGCTGGGTAGCACTGCTGGGCACTGATGGGAGGCACTGCTGGGCGCTGCTGGACAGCACTGATGATCAGGGCACAGATAATTAGTGCCCTGATTATCAGTGTGGATGTCTTCTGTGATTTTTTCTGGTTATTGGCAGTACTTTCCTCACGCTGTGACAGTGCAGCCGATAACTGGCAACTGTAATTGCCATTGGACACAGCCAATCACAGCGGCCTTTTACCTAGTCATGTGATCTGCTGTGTCCTTAGGACACAGCGATCACTGACAGTGCCGGGTGCACTCCACTGGGGGGCGTGTGAGGGGCGCGTTCTGGGAGGACTTCATATGATGCCCTCCCAGAACTGGACAACCGTGCTGTAGCCATCATTCAGCTATGGTTAACCCATAAAAATATTGTAAATTGAGTTTTGTAAGGTGTGAAAAAAGGGGTAAATTACAAAAAAAAACAGGTAGGCTTGTACAACATTATAGAATACTATGGGGTTGATTTACTAAAGTAAAAAAAATCTGTGCACCGCAAGTGCACTGAAAGTGCAGTTGCTCTAGATCTGAGGAGAACATGCAAGGAAAATAAAAACAGCATTTCTGCTTGTACATGATTGGATGATAGGAATCAGCAGATCTTCTCTTCATTTTAGTGCTTACTCTCAGACCTAGAGCAACTGCACTTTCAGTGCTCTTCCAAGTGAACGGTATATTTGCCTTTAGTAAATCAACCTCCCTGACTTGTTTCTTGAACAATAATCAAGCTTTGTATTTTGTATTATTCAGTACATTTTCCAATGGCTGATGGTCTGTATATAACACTGCAGCTAGGCATGTGTTGTTTCATAATTCAAAATATCTCATTCAATCATGAAATGCAGAACCTTGAAATAGTTGTGCAGAAATACCACTTAAATATAACAAAAAATGTTGTTAGTTCACTGACCCACTTTATCATTTTAATGTACACAAGCAGCTTTGGATAAAACTGTAGCCCCCCTCTAAATACAGCATACCTCCAAGAAACTTGAAATATAATGATATCTGGGACATTTTCTTGGAAAAAAAATATACTGTTGCTGTATTGTATACTCTGTCTCACACAGACATGTACAGCTACTGAAAGCCCCACTTTAAATCAGACTGTCCTAAAGCGAACTTTGTTTTGGCACTTGTGAGACAGTCAGCTCTGGCTAAAAATCCAAATTAAAGTGATCGTGTCACTAGAACTAGCCTTCGCTTATATTATCCGAAATGAAAAAAAGTTTTGTCTTTAGTTCTACTTAGGGTTCATGTACACTGCAGCTCCTAAACTGACGTACAGGAGCTGTTCAGCGGTATTTTTTTCAGCAGCCCCTGAACTCTCCCTAATGTTTTCCTATGTGTCCATGTATACATAGTCGTTTACAGTCGTTTACAGGCAGTTGAGTTTACAGTCGTTTTTTTGAACGCACCAAACTTGCGTTCAGCAGTAGATTTTACCGGCAGTTCAAACGCTTGTAAACACGCATTTATAAGCATTTTTTAACTGTTCCATGTCCAGATGCTGTCCAGAGCCTTTTTTCATAATCAGAAATGCATGCAAAGCATTTTCCATGTATTCAAATGAAACTAGGACACCAGCGCAGTCATTTCCAGGTTTTTTGCGTGAACGAAAAAATGGTAGAACGTGCCGCATTATGCTCATGATGGGATCCATAGTGAATGCAACCAGAAAAGATAGGTAATCTTAATACATACTGCTCTCTCTGCTTCTGCTCTCTCTATTCTTCTCAAAATATCTGAAAAAGTTAATTTTTTACTATTTTTCAGTGCATTCTGCGCATTTGGGAGGGTCTCCTGAGGTTATCTTTTAAAAACACTTCTAAACGCGAATGCACATAAACGCGGTATGCAAGCGCAGCTAAACTGATGTTATTTAACCTACGTTTTCCAACAGTCAGTTTCCATCGTTCAGAAGAGTTTTCCAAACGCCCCGGGTACATGAGCCCTTAAATTTTCTATGTGTTGAAAAGCCATTACAATGCTGCTCCCTGGGTGCTGCAAGTATCTAACCCTTCTGGCTGTGGTCGAATACCTGCTCCCCCATCCCGTAGTGATGTATAGGCTGACAGGACCACAACACAGTTTGCAATGGCGGAGCAGGTATTCCACATAGTCTCTATTTTAACACTAAGGTTACATAGGACTGTTTTTCATTGATTCCTCACGATGAATAGAGCAGTATAAGAAAGAAAAAATGCTCTGATGTGGTTGAAGGAGAAGGAGGGTAATAAAGTGAGCCTGTGTTTTGCCCTAAATTGGCTCTCTTTAACCATCTAATTTAAGTTTTACAACAATGAATACAGTCATCATTTGAAGGTGCTTTTAATTATTTAGATACATTATACTCAATGCATCCTAATGATCAGTTCTCTGAGTAAGGATCTGTGCTGATAAATTTTGCTTTGCTTTCTTCTGGTGAGGCAAATGGCATGGTGTAGGATAAGCTCCTCTGTAAAGCGTGATCCTAACTCTAATATTTGTGTGTCTCAATCTTGGAGCATTTATAGCAATAGATAAATTAAGGACAGATATGCCTGGAGTCAGAGCACGCCTCCTTAAGGCTCAAGGACCCATTAGAAGCCCGGCAAAAGGACAACGGCAGCTGAAGGTGGCCATTGTGTCCCAACGCCAATTCCAGCAAGCAAGTTATACAATAATGGAAACCACTCCAATTTATAACTAGCCTTTGAAGCAAGGTGCACATGGAAGGGCATCACACAGCACATACAAACACAAGTTTCAATGCTAAGTTTTCAGTACCAATTTTAGGTTGCCCTATTGATGGTTAGTTTTAGACCTTACAGTAAAATACAAGGTTCATTTGTAATGGCTAAACCCCTTTTAACCACCTCCTGCCCGCCATATAGTACAATGACGGGCGCAAGGTGGTTATCTTGTTCTGATAGGACGTCATATGACGTCCTTCCATTCTCACCGCGCATGCGCGGCTCAGGGAGCGCGCAGCACGGCGATTGCCGGTGCGCTGTGTCCCTCGGACCCAGCGGATCACGGAAAGAGCCAAAGATGTTGGCTCGGTCATGTGATCAGCTGTGTCCAATCACAGCTGATCACATGTAAACATGGAAATGCCGGTTATCGGCATTTCTCTCCTCTTGAGCTGTCACACTGACAGCTTGAGAGGAGAGGAGAGCTGGTAATCGGCTTTTCCGCGGAGGGGACATGTACACTGATCATCAGGGCACTGATGATCAGTGTGCCCTGATGATCAGTGTGGCCCCAGAAGTGCCACCTGTCAGTGTCTATCAGTGCCAGCAGTCAGTGCTCATCAGTGCCACGTGCCAGTGCCCATCAGTGCCACATCAATGCCACATATCAGTGCATACCAGTGCACATCAATGCCACATATCAGTGCCCGTCTGAGCTGTCTTTCAGTGTCACTCATCAGTGCCAGTCAGTGCTACCTATCAATGCCAATCAGTGCCACCTATCAGTGCTGCCAATCAATGCCACCTATCAGTGACAGTCAGTGTCGCCTATCAGTGCACATCAGTGCCGCCTAACAGTGCCAGTCAGGGCCGCCTAATAGTGACAGTCAGTGCCGCCTATCAGTGACAGTCAGTGCCGCCTATCAGTGCCATCTATCAGTGCCATATATCAGTGTCATGTATCAGTGCTGCCTTTCAGTGCCCATCAGTGATGTCTGTCAATGCCCATCAGTGCAAATTACCAGTGCCTCCTCATCAGTGCCCATCAGTGCCACCTATCAGTGTCCATCAGTGCAGCCTATCAGTTCCCATCACTGCAGCCTCATTAGCGCACATCAGTGAAGGAGAAAAATCACTTATTTACAAAATTGTATAACAAAATCTAAGAAAAAACTTTTTTTTTTTCAAAATTTTCTGTGGTTTTTGGTTTGTTTAAGAAAAAATAAAAATCCCAGATGTGATTAAATAGAAAGCTCTATCTGTCTCAAAAAAAATGATAAAAATGTCATATGGGTACAGTGTTGCATGACCGCGCAATTGTCATTCAAAGTGTGACAGCGCTGAAAGCTGGAAATTGGCCTGGGCAGGAAGGGGGTATAAGTGCCCGGTAGGCAAGTGGTAAACTCCCCTTTCTCTTGCAAAAACATTACCTTATCTCCTCTCTTCTGCTTAGGCAATGGATACATCATCTAAGGAATGCATGCAGCCCAACTATAGCAAGAATACACTCCTGCACTGAACATTGTTCCCAATGAATCTCCATAGAAGGATAGTAACCTCATGTCCAGCAATGCAGAAGAGGATTAGGTAAGTGTATAATCCAATGTCACATACATTTTCGCAATACTATTAGAGAGTGATTTTTACACGGGGAGGGCCAAAACCTTATTGGTGAACTTTGTATTGTACTACATGGTTCCCTTATTATTTATTTATTTCAGGTACTTATATAGCGACGTCAATATTATGCAGCGCTTTACTTATTGTACATTCACATCAGTCCCTAACACTCAAGGGGCGTACAATCTAAGGTACCTAACTCACATTCATATATATACATACTAGGGCCAATTCAGGAGCCAATTAACCTACTAGCATGTCTTTGGAGTGTGGGAGGAAACCGGAGTACCCGGAGGAAACCCACGCAGGCACAGGGAGAACATGCAAACTCCAGGCAGATGGTGTCGTGGTTGGGATTCGAACCATCGACCCTAGTACTGCCAGGCGGAAGTGCTAATCATTTAGCCACTGTGCTGCCTTTAAGGGTAGGTTTAGGTTAAAACCAAACTTCAGCTTTCTGACACATTAAAATTCTTCCTTTGGAGGAAGCTGGTCCAAATAAACTATTACCTTCACTAACAGATGCATCCACTGTGAGTGTTGTATAAACTGTATATAGTATTAGCTGCATACAGTACAGTATACAGTGCTGTGTTCTGCCAGCAGGATGGGGACTTCCTGTCCCACTTCCAGAACAAAATTGAGTCAGGGTGAGCACTGCTCAGCCAATCAAAAGAAAGTTTGTATTTTCTGAATACATGCAAAGCTTCCTATGAGTGGCTGAGTAGCGCTCAACCCAATTTTGTTCTTGAGTGGGATGGGAAGTGCCCGTCCCACTGCCTGAACACAGCGCTGCATTAGCTACATACAGTTTATACAACGCTCACAGACGTTGCATCTGTTAGTAAAGGTAATAGTTCATTTGGACCAGTTTGGTCCAAATGAAGCATTTTAAAGTGACAGTAAGCTGGAGTTCAGTTTATGGGACTAAGTGAAATTTAGGTGGTTAGGAGTAGGAATACAATCAAGTTGAGAGTTAAATGTAGAGGTTAGGTCAAAGGTTAGCTTAGATTTAGAATTTTATTTTTGGCTGTAAGAAATAATTTTTTATTGTAGCGCCAAATCTACCATGCTATCGGTATTTTATTAACAAATGAATGTACAGTTTAGTTCATTAGAATAAAGTAAACATTTATATATAAATGAAATAACCCCCTCACACCTGTTTTGTGGTATCTAAATATATAATGCTTCAGAAAAAATAAGATAAGAGTGTTTTCTCTTATCACATACAGACTTTTTATTGAAAATGTAATCTATATACAATATTAAAAAGTATGAGCAATCACTGAGACCTATTTTATCTAAATGGCATAGAAAGGTATGGTTATATCTGTAACCTGATTGAATAAATGACTATTGTAACTCTTGAAGATTGGGTTCCAAATTACATTACTGCTTTCAGTGCAAATTAATCTGTGTAGTATTTTCTTTTCTGTTTTTTATTGTTCTTATTAATGAAGCAAACAGGCAAATCTAATATTGTTTAAACCTTACAAAGAATTGCTGATTAATGTCATTAAATGCAATTGTTATGATTATATCAATCAACATTTGCAAAACGTCAACTAGTGTTCATCGATATGCATTAATACAAACTTGCACCAATTAATATCAAACATTAAATCTTAAAGTTGGGATATGTCACAATGATCTGAATAATTTTGTAACATTATACTTGGCAATAACTGAAAATAACAGTAATTCTGTTCATGCCCCACAGCATTCAGCATTTATAGTCCTTAGGGCCTATTTCATTGCCTTAACCACTTGAGCTCCTGAGGATTTACCCCCCTTAATGACCAGGCCCCTTTTTGCTACTCGGCGCTGCACTAATTCAACTGATAATTGCGCGGTCATGCAATGCTGCACCTAAACAAAATTTACATCCTTTTTTTCACACAAAAAGAGCTTTCTTTTGGTGTAATTTGATCACCTGTGCGCTTTTTATTTTTCACGCTATAAGCAAAAAAACACCAAAAATTTTGAAGAAAAAACAATATTTTTTATTTTCAGCTATAAAAAATATATAGTAAACTCAAAGTTGGTTATAAATTTAGGCCAAAATGTATTCTGCTACATGTTTTTGGTAAAAAAAATCCCAATAAGTGTATATTGATTGCTTTGTGTGGAAGTTATAGCGTCTACAAACTATGGTATAAATACTGCAATTTACGCCATTTTTCTGCTATACAGCGCTGCGCTAGTTTAACGGACAATTGCGCGGTCATGCAATATGGTACATAAATGAAATTTTTTTCCCCACAAATTGAGCTTTCTTTTGGTGGTATTTGATCGCCTGTGCGGTTTTTATTTTTTGCGCTATAAAAAAAAAAGGCTGACAATTTTGAGGAAAAAAAAAACAATATTTTGGACTTTTTGCTATAAAACATGTCCAGTAAAAAAAAAAAAGCAAAAATCAAATTTAGTCATAAATTTCTGCCAAAATGCATGCTGCGACATGTCTTTGCTAAAACAAATCCCAATACGACTTATGGCAGGACTGCGGGACTGCGGCGGACATTCTGACATTGGGGGGTACTGACTTGGGGTCACTGACATCCCCAAAAACACTAATACAGTGATCAGTGCAAAAAAAAAAACCTGACACTGTACTAATGGCACTGGGGAGGAAGGGGTTAACTTTATTTAGCAGGGAAGGGTTATAGGAGTGAGGGGAGTGTGTTTCACTAGGGGGCGGGGGTGTGTGCTGGGTGGGACAAGGCTGATCGAGAAAGTGAAACTAATCCTCGAGCTGACAGAGAGGTGACAGACAGCACAGCTACTGCAGCTGTGCTCTCTGTCACCGTTTACCGCCGATCGCCGGGACATAGCCGCTAACGAGCGGCTGTGACCCGGCAACTGACATCTGTGGCGGTGATCCACAGGACAAATAGGGCGGCAGCGCGCCTCGCGCGCGCCCCCTATTTGTTTACAAAACACACGTTTTAAAACGTGGTTTTGCCTGTGAGTGCCGCCCTGCCGCCGTATATGTACAGTGGCAGGGCGGCAAGCGGTTAAATGCAAACTGCAGTTAACTGTGCTGTATGTCATAGTTAAATAGTAACTAGTCAGGCTGAAAAAAATAACATCCTGTAAAAAAACCCACCAAAAATTCAATTTTTCTCCCTCCGAACCCTAAACCTAAATTAATTCAGAAGAAGCCGAAAAAAATTACAAATGTTGTCCCAATTTTCTCCATCAGAGAAAAAAGAACCCCTGGATGAAAATTTACAATGCTGTGTATTATAGTGTTAGCTATTTATATTATGTGCATTTGGAAACATATCCAGCTATTTTTGAAAAAAATTTGGTTTCTTAAAGCCAGTTACAATGTTGGAGTATTCTACATTTTCTCACACATTTCACATTATAGTAAAGAATCCTTTCCATATAGGGAAAATAAATGTTTTTTCCCTCCAATTTTAGACTGTGTTTTGCAGTGACCTTGATTTTGCAGCAAATAAACATTTGGTAAATTTGCAATATGGGTCATTTATGTATTTATGCAAGATGATCAAATCCCCTATAATCCCCTATTATAAAGTGAACACATTTTGCCTATTGGTATAACCACTTGCAATCAGATTGCAATTGGTTTATTAATGGTTTTTTATAATCTGTGCACAGGATACATTCATTAACATCTGTTAGTGAAACTAGCAGCAGCCATAGGTGCTGGTTCCTAGTTCCATGACAAGATCTGGGGGGATTCATAAAGTGTCCTAGACACTCTTTAGAATTTTATTGGAAAGTGAAAGTGTGCACCCAAATTATGTACCTGTCAGAAATAGGTGCATGAATCTGTCTGCACTGAAGAAAGGAGTGTTCAGTTTATATATATGATGACACAAGCTTGAGCCTTTGCTTGAGATCCCTACACAATCTTCCTTATTAATTCATTGGGCCCTACAAATATGATTCTTTTCTATTTGAGAACAAACCCTGGTCTGTTCAAAGCACAGGCCCCATTTCTTACTCCTGATTATATGTGGGAATGACAGTTAGATGGGTCTTGAATGCTCTAGCTGTATCTAGCAATTGGTCTCTGAAATCTAACCTTTATTATAATGTATGTTTTCTTTCATACGCATGTGATGCATGTTGTGTAAAAACCCCAGTAAACATTTACTGAACCAGAAGAAAAAGTGTTCACACTGGACACCCCTTTCTCAGTGCACTCTCTCCCTCCCTCTCTGACCATTGCATCTGTCACATGGAGCGGCTCATGGCTGTGGAGTGCATGGAGTCTGATGGTAATTTGTTTGTATTTCCAATTCTATTCTATACTGTAACAGTTATATTTAGAAAGAAATGTTGAAAAATTAACAAATATTCTGTTTATTTGCAGAAGCTAAGGTCTTGGTGTTTTTGGAAACCATTTGTTCCAGAAAATGAAGGCAATATTTTCTATTGGTATCAGAAGATGGCAGGACATACATAAAAGTAATATAATTGTGAAAGATGTATTGTTGTCTATGCCCACCAGCACAATATACCAAACATGAAGTAAATTTGACTTGGAAAAAAAAGTACAACAAAGTTTACATTAGATTGTATTTGGAATGTTATAGCAGACTCTATGCATATTTTATAGTTATTCTTT